ATGACATTCTAATTTTTTGAGATGCACCTGTAGTGATGCTGGCTGAAATTCTGTTGCCAATCCTGACAGACTGGGGCTTACCAGTCAGAAAGTTCAGGATCCAGTTACAGAGGTTGGGCGGTGCTTGGCTTCCTGTTTATTTCAGTTTTCATGCCCCAGCTTTACACCATATCATTCCACTCATCTGTTGCTTATTATGTCCCAGTCCTGCCAGGCATATATATACCCTGTTTTCCGCTCATTCCCCGCTGGTTCATTACATTACTCTCTACACCTGACACCTGGATTATTCATCCCAAGGTTACTGCCCGCAATTCAGCGTTCCAGGCCTCCTACTCCTCATGCCAGTTTGCTTTATGCATCTCTCCTACCACTAATCCGTCATGCTTATCAGCCTGGAAGGCACGCCGTTTGTTTAACGGACTGAGTAATTTCCTGGCCCGATGTCTTTCTGTTTATCTGACTGCTAACACCTCACTGTATACTGTGCACCTGACGCTACGTTTTATTCTTTAATCTGCTATCTTTAGTTCCCATGTCCTTTCCCTTGCATGGACACATTTAAAGTGTTGACGTTCTTGATCACATCAGCAAAACACGCCATAAGCACGAGCCAGAGTTTTTCACTGAGCATCTCAGTATACAGGGAGTTATTGTGCGAGAGGAAGGCAGTGATTTCGTGTTTAAGCTCATAAAACCATGACATTACTTTTCCCCTTGAAAGCCAAGCAAACTTCTGAACGACACAGCAACTGGACATGATCTAATCCCAGGTCTTTGCACAGCTGTATGAAACAACAGCTGTTCTTGGCACGCCGTTTAATGTAATTCACTATTGCTATGGCATCTTTGTGTCAATGTACAGCTTTAAAACTGCACCAGAGTTCGCTATAAACTGATTTACATCTGCTGATTTTTACTAGCATATTAACATTTTGGTAACACTTTACAATAACGGCCCAATTCATAGGCTTAAGTAATGCTTAATTCATGATCAGTTAATGGGTAACTGATCATGAATTAATCACGAATTCCAATATATCACTATGAATTCAATTTGGTATCAACTACTTAATTCACTCTAACTTCATCAGTAGTTAAGAAACCTTAATTCATGGTTACTTCATACATTAATTCCTACACCACCCTTTGAGCCTGATTTTAGAAATGCTTGTTCCGGGGCCATGGTTTTGATCAGCTTCTTTTATGATTGAAGTATGTTTTATATTCGATCATATAATTTGTTATGTTTTTTAAACCAAAATGGTCTTAAGAGTAAAACATTTCTATGATGCTGGATGTTCAGAAGCACCTAAGGCCTACCCAATAAAGTGAAAAAGTACTTATATGACATGTGTTCATCATTAATAAATCATTAATACACCTTTACCTAACCAGAACTGAGTACCTCCAAGTAAAGTGATGTCCCTAAACTCATTACTTAAGGAAAGATTCACTAGTAGTTCATTATTACCTAAAGATGAGTTTAAGAGATGTGCACCTTCAAGTAAAGTCACATCACATTCCTGTTAATTCATCATGAAATCACAATAACCTCATTATCTGTTAACAACTGTGTTCACTTTAAAATACCACATTCAAAAGAAACAAATGTTTGTGAAACCAGAAAGGCTTTATTTTTCAAAATTTTGCATGTTTTGGTGGCCTGCTGCACCTGTTAACATAAGAAAGTGTAGATTTGACTCAAAAAAGGAATCATGCAACAAAAAAGACAGGCCAAACATAAAAGTTATCAAAAAAAATCTCTGTATGTACACAGATTACATTAGCATAATTACACTACCAATGGACAGAACGACAAAATCAAAATCAAATCACACTAAACTTAGCCTTCACTCCAAAACGAATCATACAAAAGAAAAAAGGTCAGGCCAAACATAAAAGTTTTCTTAAAAAAATCTGTATTTCCAAAAATACAACCTATGTATGTATATACGAACACAATAAATTATTTCTTGGTTACATCAAGAAGTAAGCCCTGATTTTTGTGTTCCTCAATGAGGCTTGCCTCTGGTTCTTTTCTTTGACACAAAAAGAATAGCAAAGCTCAGCAAAAGCAGAAACAGTAGTTCTCTTTGTAAACTTCATTCTTAAAGCATTATATTTCTCAGAATTCACGGCATTAAGCTCTGCAATTGGTGCTTGATTTACTATTGTGTTTCGGTCAACACCAACCATCCTGTAAGCCTCCGACTTATTTCTTCCTGATCTCACGAGTTTCAACACCTTCTGGTAACGGGCAATGGACTCTTCTGGAGTATTCACTGTGAAAATCAAATTGAAAGTTTATGAGCATTAGGTTGGAGCAGGGGTGGACCAAGATACAGAGGCAGAAGGGGGAACTGCTGTTCACTATATACGCACAAACAAGTAGGTTATCAGATTTAAGATTACTTTAATACCTCTTCGAACATTCACCTTCTTGGACTTCTTGTATTTCTTGTATCTCTTAGCATCTTCCTCTGAGGATGTATCAGATAAGGTGCTGGACAGAGTATAGCTCACAGCAGAATTCCCATGTTTGTGCACTGGTGGTCCAAGTGACACAGAGGATGCAGCAGCATTTCGTCCTTTCATGACTGTAAAAATAAAATATAATTATTAAACTATTCATTGTAAATACACTGGATAAGCATAACAAATAAATAAAATAGATAACTAAATCAGATACACATTCTAATTACAAACATATATCATAATTCTCCACAGCTTCGTGAATGGATGCAGGTGTTTTTATTCATCTGTATTCTAATAACTGTTACGGCAAGCCGCACACCAACAGAGTATCTGGACTCAGTAATAGGCAGGACTCAAACTCAG